CAGCCTGCTCTGGGTGACCCTGCTTGGGCAGGGGGCTGGGCTGGGTGACCCCCAGAGGTCCCTTCCAACCCCTGCCATGCTGGGATTCTGTGAAGGCAAAGGTGGTGGCAGGGGACATGGGATGTTCCTCTTGCCCCCCATCCTTCTGGGGAGGGCTGGGGCGAGCAGTGGCCGACATCCCCTGTCACCCGTCCCCAGGGCTGGAAGTGGCACAGCCCCTCCTGCTTCTGGCTGGGCGAGGACCGAAGGTGGTGGCAGGGGACATGGGATGTTCCTCTTGCCCCCCATCCTTCTGGGGAGGGCTGGGGCGAGCAGTGGCCGACATCCCCTGTCACCCGTCCCCAGGGCTGGAAGTGGCACAGCCCCTCCTGCTTCTGGCTGGGCGAGGACCGCGTCCCCTACAGCGATGCCCGCAAGACGTGCTCCGACTACGGCTCCACGCTGGTCACCATCACCAACAGGTCAGCGCCATGCCAGTGGTGACGGGGTTGCCCCAATGTGAACCCCCCATGTGGGATGATGACCCCACAGCTGGGCCCTGTGGGCGGGCTGGGGTGACACGGGCTGCTCGGCGTCTCGGCTCGCAGCATCGCCCGCTCTCGCCAGGTTCGAGCAGGCGTACGTCAGCAGCCTCATCTACGGGTGGGCCGGGACAGCGCTGCAGGACATCAACGAGACGGGCGCTTTCCGCTGGCTGAGCGGCGACGAGGTCATGTACACCCACTGGAACCGCGACCAGCCCGGTACGGGGGTGGCCGCGGGTGGGATGGGGACATCCCCTCCATGCAGGGTGGGTGCTGGCTCTGCCACCTGGCACGGCCCAACCCTAAGGCTGGCATCCTCCCCGCTCCCGTGAGCGCTCCAGGTTACAACAAGGGCGGCTGCGTGGCACTGGCCACCGGCAGCTCCGTGGGGCTGTGGGAGGTGAAGAGCTGCAGCACCTTCAAGGCCAAGTACATCTGCCGGCAGAACCTGGGCACCCCGGTCAACCCCGAGCTGCCCGGTCCCTACCCCACGCCCAGCCTCGCCGCCGCCTGCCCCTTGGGCTGGAGCTCCGACTCCAAGCTCCGGTACTGCTACAAGGTGAGGGGTGCTGGGGTGGGGGGGGGCTGCCCTGGCCATTTTGGGGGTGCCTGTGCCTCCCCACTGGTGCGAAGGAGGGTGAAGGAGCAGGTTTTGGTGCTTGCAAAGGGCAGCCTGGACCCCACGAGCCTGGCTGGGGCTGAGCGGTGGCAGCGTGCCCCGGGATGCTGCTGCCTGCGGGGGGGGGACGATGCTCCGCTCCCGTCGCGGGGCCG